GAGAGAGAGAGAGAGAAAGAGAGTGAGAGAGAGAGAGAGAGAGAGGCCGCATGCGCCACCGCGAAGCCCCACGCCGCCGCCGCCCGTCCACCGTCCAGTGCCGCGGCACCGATCTTTGCCGCGCGCCCGCCATCGCCGCGCAGGCGGCACAGCGTTTTGGCGGCCTCGGCCGAACACGGCCGAACGTGGCCGAACGCGACCGAACGCGGTCGCAGCGGCCAAGACGGCCACGCAGCGGAGGCCGCCGCGGGGGAGGCTGGGGCAGGCCGTGTGGATGGGTCCGATGGGGTGCTCGCCGCTGTGCTAGAGACCCATGCCCGCCTCGGGTGCTGGCAGGGGGAGGACTGCGGAGGGGCCAGCGAGGACGACATCGAAGGTGCGGAGGGACCATCCACGGGACGACATCGGCGGCGAGGCCAAGGACTGCGAATCTCGGAGTACGCTGTGCGTAGGAAGGGGGGGGGGGGTTGTGGGACAATGACGGGTGGTGCGGGGCCCAGCGGTGAGGGGACTGGCGGTGCACGGGGGACTGCGGGTAGGGGATTCGTCCCGCAATCTGATAGGGAGATGGCGCGGTTGAGGCGGGGCAACTCGATTTGGAACTTCGTCACGGCGGGGGAACTTGTCGGGGACCAGTCGAAGATGCATGGGGACAGGAAGTTGCGTTGCAACTTTTGCAACCATGTGTGGCAGGGGAATGAGACGAAGGCGGCTCGCCATTTCACGCAGCCAAAGTACTGCAAGATTGCGGGGATGAGAGTTCTCGTGGACATATGGAACAACACGGGGTACATGTTCGTGGACAAAACTGCTCAGCGGGTCCAGAGGTGGATGGCAGACGAGGGGATTCGGGATACGAGATCGACCACGGGTGGGCAACGGCCACGGGCAGACGAGGCAGAGAGGGACGAGATGCAGGACTTCCTTGATGCGCAGGAGGGGGCGAGGGCAGGGTCGGCGAGACAGGCTTGCGAGACGAGGCAGCTGGACGCTGCGAGCCCAATCTGCCTGGGGAGGAGGTAGTGATGACATCGAGAGCGGATGGCCCGGCGGGACGCGGTGCGAGGGCGTCACGACCTGAGTTGGAGCGCGCTAGGAGGGAGAAGAGGAAAGTGGGGGAGGAGTACGTTGACGTGCGGGACACGGCAAGGGAGAAGAGGGCACGTCAGACGACGATCGACGAGCTGTACGCGAAGGAGAAGTTGAGCGAGTTCACTGATGCGTGGCTGTAGTGGATCTACGCGAAGGGGTTGTCGTTCAACGCCTTCAGAGGGTCGGAGTTCCAGAGGGTACGTCAGACGGCGGAGCGAGTCCCCCGCAACGTTCGCTTCCAGTTTCCCTCCTACAGGGTTACAGCGGGCGGCGGGATCCCTTCGCAGAGGGCGAAGGTGGCGACGATGGTGAGCGAGGTGCGGGCCGCTTTCCGACACACCGGTGCCACCATCCTCTCCGACGGAAGGAAGTCGCGTAGCGGCAAGCCGCTCGTGAACTTCCTGGCCGGGGGCGCCAACGGCGCCCTGCTATATGCGACCGTCGCACGTGACGGGTCAGTCGCTGACACGGCGGATGTCGTGTATCGCAGGTGGCGGGCCATCATCTTGTCCTTTCCTGCAAAGGAGGTGATCGGCTTCTGCACGGACTACGCCAGTAACTATACGGCGGCGGCCCGCAGATTCGCCACCGACCCCGACGCAGACATCAGGAGGATCACTTGGCTTCCCTGCTCCGCCCACGGGTGCACTATGTAACCGGCTGAACACGCTGAATGCGTGTTCACGTTCAAACGCATGCGTTCATACCCCCCCGGGCCGCGTTCAATCGCGTTCAAACGCGCTGTGCGCCATGTGGCGCGAAAAAATTGAACGCGGCCCGGAGGGCGCGCGCGCACGTTGCGGACTACAGGGTGGTGGAGCTCGTTCATCGAACCCCAAAAGTGCAAAAATAAAATAAAATCAGGAGACCTACTCCCCCTACGGCGTCACCCCCCGCCATATGTGAAGAGTCCCTTCTTTTTTTTTGGGGGGGGGGGAATCCCCCTAACACGGCTCAGATGGCCCATGCAGGCTATCTGAAAGGTCCTCGCAGCCATGTGAAGCAGAACCCCCCACCAGTGAATATGAACTGAGCACAAGCTGGCCGAATATATAGTCAAGATTCGAATTCAGGTTTGTGTTTCAGCAGTTGTGGGTTGTTCACGTAGCTAGGCCCTGGCCCTGCCGTGATTCTCAGGGCTTGGCTGCACTACTCACCATGGAAGAATACGCCGCCAGGGTCCCATTGTATTTTCTTCTCTGGTATTCACGGCAGCCACAACAGAGAAAGAACAAAAAGAAAAAAAAACAAGTAAAAAAAAAACAAAAAGAAACTTCACTTGCCCGGTCATAGCCATTAGGTACATGCCATCACTTTTGAAAACACCAGGTTCGTGAAGGCCTTCACAGAGGTGGAAAGGCCAGCAGTTCTTTGAGTATTGCATCTGCCCAGTAAGTGAGGTATGTGCTCGAAAGTGGTTGTGTTTTTTTTTTTTGAGTTTTATTGGTGGAATCATTGCCCTGTCAGAAAGGCAGGGCGGAACCCGTAGACATAAACTGCCAACCTCAACTCGCACTCACATACTACTGTTTACTACTGTTGAATCCTGTATCTGGCCACGATATGGGCCCACATCTTGTTTTGCTTTTGTTTTTTTGTTTCAGAGGGTACAGTCTCCTTAGGGCCCCATGGAAGTATCTGGCCAGCAAGTTTGGGTCGTGCATGATGTTGCTTTTTTTTTTTTTTTTCCTTCTGCCACCCTGCCCGAGAGGCAGGGCGGATTGCACGCTGGGACATAGACTGCGAAGCTCACCTCATAGTCGCAGTGGTACTCTTGATCACAGCATAAGGGGTACTGTTCAGTAAGGGCACAGTCCCACTGGAACCTGGTAAGGATGTACCTAATGGCTATAACGGGGTAAGTGAAGTTTTTTTTTGTTTGTTTTTTTTTGTTTTTTTTTTTACTTGTTTTTTTTTCTTTTTGTTCTTTCTCTGCTGTGGCTGCCGTGAATACCAGAGAAGAAAATACAATGGGACCCTGGTGACGTATTATTCCATGTTGTGCAGAAGATTCATTCTAGTTTTGCACATTTGGTGAGTAGTGCAGCCAAGCCCTGAGAATCACGGCGAGCAACCCATAACTGCTGAAACACAGACCTGAATTCGAATCTTGACTATATATTCGGCCAGCTCGTGCTCACTTCATATTCACTGCCTACCGTGATTGTGGTGGAGGGGTCTGCGCCACATGGCTGTGAGGACCCTTCAGATAGCCTGCATGGGCTATCTGAGCCGTGTTAGGGGGATTCCCCCAACCCCCTGAGAAAAAAAAAAGGACCTTTAACACACACACGCACACACACACAGTCGCATACACATACACACACACACACGCACGCACTTTCACACATACACTTTTTTTTTTTTTCTTTTTTTTTTTTTCTGTTGCCCTTTTTGCCTGGGGCATTGGTCCATCCTTCCCAAACACCGTCGCCGCTCCCCACACTGCCCACAGCCCCCCCAAGCACTGCCGCCGCTCCCCAGTGCCCCCGACATGCCTCCCGGGCGTGGGTGGTGCTCTGCGCGTTCGCGTTCAGAGCGTGCACCCGCGTTCTTTGAACGCGCATTCAACGCGTTCAAAAACTGAATGTGGAACCCGCGTTCAACGAACGCGCGGTAACATAGCGTCTGCAACTTTATGTTGTCAGACGTCGGGACGCGAGTGGGGTGGGTCAAGGAGACCATCATCCGTGCCCGAGCGTTAGTGCGATTTATTAAATCGCACGGCGCTGCGTTCGCCCTTTTCAGGAGGATGAGCCCTCGTGTCACGCTGGTTGAGCCCATTGAGACCCGGTTTGCATCAGTTTTCCTGATGCTGACGTGTCTCAAAGGCCGGCGGGACGCGTTAGAGAGCATGTTGCATGGCGACGCGTGGGCTCGCATCCCGTGGGAGCGCGTTATGTTGCATGGCGACGCGACGGCGAGTTCTGGCGATGCGTTGACTGTGCCATCCGCGTTATGTCGCCCATCCACCAGCTCTTGAGGAGGATGGATAGAGGGGGGATGATGATGTCCATCGTTTACGAGTGGAGTCAGCATCTTCTGGAGTTGATGAGGAGGGTGGATGTGCCGGCGGACATGGTCGAGCCGTGCGTGCGCGAGGTTGTCGTCCGCAACCTCCACATGCTCGAGCCCGCACATGCTGCGGCACACCTCCTCAACCCTCGCCGCCGGTCCCTCCGATATTATGAGTCGTTGCAGACGACCACCGACATCGCCCGTGTGGTCGAGGAGTGCGACAAATTTCTGCTCGCACAGACTGGCGGCGATCCGGTCGGCAGACTATACAGGACAGTCCGTGACCAGATCAGGCATTTCCACTCGCGGCGGGGAGATTGGGGAGATCGGGAGTTGTCCGGTGCCGAGGCCGACGACTGTCGGGGGGACCGCGAGACTGAGCGTTGTGCCCAGTGGTGGTTTGATCACGGACGTCATCACCCTGAGTTGTGCACCATCGCCATCCGTGTGATGCACTTGTGGATGTCCGCCTCTCCTGCGGAGAGGAACTGGGCACACCACGAGCGCATCAACACGGCGAGGCGCCACAAGCTTGGCTTTGCCAAGCTTGCACAGCTGGTTGAGACTGCCACCGATCTCAAACTGGCCGGGTGCGCACAACAGGGTAGTGGCTACGTGTTGCCCTGGGTTATGGGGACAGGTCAGGAGGAGACCGCGGGAGGGCAGGAGGACGACGAGGGGGACGTGGACCCCGAGGTGTGGGGAGCACGACCTGCTGGCAGTTTCAGCGAGCAGGACATCGAGCGCCAGGTCGTCGCTTTCCATGCTTGTCAACTGTCTAGAGCCGACCCGGTTCAGGACGTGTTCGGTAAGAGGGCGGTGGAGCTACGGCCGTGGTCGGAGCAGACGTCGGACGCTGATGCAGACGGTGACACGTCGGACGACGAGTGGACGGACGATGACGACGCTCCCGTCAGCGGCGACGCGACGGCGGAGCGGGTCTATTTCACGTACGGCGGAGGACCTAATGGCATGACTCCACACACATCCATCATCACTAACGATGTGTCGTCCGGTGGTCAGGCCAGTGGCACCGGCAAAGCCGGTGGTCGTCGTCGATGACGACCGTGTGCCGACGAGTACGTGGAGGAGCAGGAGCCACTCTGAGGCCTTCGGCAGACGGACAGACGTTGGGAGGTCAGGAGCGACAGCGAGCCGGAGGGGGCGGAGGAGGAGGAGGAGGTGCGCCTTCAAGATCGTCGGTTCTCTCCCTCTCATCATCGGACTACGGGACCGCCCGAGCCTACCAGGCCGAGGACGAGGTCGGCATCGGCAACGGAGAGACAGCAGACACCAGTGACCGAGCACCATGAGGGGACCGGGCTTGCGGACATTCCGGAGATGGAGAGGACTCCATCATGCGCCGGTGTCCGCCACTGCTCGCCGTCCGAGCTGCGCACCGACGACTTCTACGTCGGCGGATCTGGCGGGGGTTTGGGGGATCTCAGTGCCCCGAGACAGTGGGGTGTCTTACTGTCGGACGTGCTACTCGACGATTCTGATGTGCGGGGCCATGTAGAGACCTCGGAGGAGCGGGATGCCCGACTGGACAGAGAGGAGGAGGAGGAGCGGTTGCGGACTTTGCCGGGATGGGAGGGTCGTTTCACGTATATGGAGGAGCAGCGCCGACTGAGGGAGTTGGAGACAGGGGGGGTAGCGACGGTGACGGAGGCGATGTGGGTTTTGGTGGGGAGGCTGATGCGGGGACGGCCCGACAGGGTGTCCCCACGGGTGTTGAGGGAGATGGTGTTGCCGTGGGTGGTGGGGGGCAGGGTGGCGGCGAGGACGAGGACGAGGACGAGGAGGGGTCCGACCACGGAGACGACGGCGACGACGAGGAGGGGTCCGACCACGGAGACGACGGCGACGACGGCGGCGACCACGGCGACGAGGGCGGCCACGGGGACGACGGTGGCCACGGCGACGACGGTGGCGACGACGGCGACGACGGCGACCACGGCCACGACGGCGGCGACGGCGGCGGCGAGAGAGAGAGAGAGGGTAGGCTGGCTTTGGTCTTGAGGGACCCGTCAGTGCCTTCACTACCTCTCACACGGCCCGAGGCCTTCTCGCAGGCTGGTTTTGATGCCAACGATTTGGCGCGACTCGGTTCACATGACCCTTTCCCCCACACGGGCCGCAGGAGCGGCGAGAGGCGCCCTCCTGGAGGGGCGTATTCGCCCCCGCCCTACATCGTGGATAGCCCTAGATGGTCAGGGTCTTCGCTCAGCGGCATTAGAGGGAGGGAGTCCGGGCCGGTTGATGGCGGGTCGGGCCGCCGGAGTGACGGTGGCGGATCTTCTGGATCGATGCCTCCGCCACCCGCACGGAGCACGGAGGGTGGCGCCGACGCGACTACGGCCCGTGCGCCCGTTGCCGGTTCCCCGCCGCCTGTCGCAGGTGGTGTTGCCGGCGGATGGGCAGCTCATCGCCGGGTCTCGGACCGAATGAGGGCGGATTACGACGCCAGGAGGGGCGCCTTCGCAGAACGTTTGTCACCTCGGTTTCAGGTTGCGGGCAGCAGCGAGGGTGGCTCCGGACGTCCGAGTCTTCACATGGCAGGCCACATGCTCGGTTTGTCTCGATCAGCAACGAGGAGAGTTTTGATCCCACCGCCGATTCCGGCCCGAGGGACAGCTGCGGACATGCAGCAGGGTCAGCACTACACATTCGGCGAGGAGGGGTTGCTGATGTGGAGTGGGACGAGACGACACAGCGCCGTCACGGAGGTTGAGGCTCGACTCGCAGCAGAGATCACCGCCGGCCAGGCTGCATTGGACGCGATTCAGAGGCATCGACGGACGATTGCTGCAGCGGGGGCCGAGGACGAGGACGCGGACACAGAGTCCGAGCCGGTTGACAGTGCAGTCCGCAGACATAGAGCGGTCGTGTCCGCGGCAGCCGCGGCAGCACAAGCGACATACATCAGCGGTGCTCAGGGCACAGGTGGTGGAGAGGGCCCGGGAGGAGCGCGTGGTCGACAGTCCACCAGGAGAGGCCGCGGGCGTCCTTCCGGAGGTAGAGGATCTGGACCTTCCGCAGGGAGAAGGAGTTTTTTTTTTTTTTTTTTTTTTTTTTTTTTTTTT